ACATACATGAAGTTAGGTTTTATCTGAAGAACACCTGATCGCATAGCAAATGCATAGCATTTTGACAGTTTTTACTACCAATTTATATGGAAAAAAACCGTAACATAGCGTTGCCATAACAACGGACCAATTTTATCGGATAATTGACTCCTTAGCTAACAACTTTTGAATTTAACAACTTTGAATTGTGACGATGAACTTTTGAAAATTTGGCATGGATCAATCTTCAATGGATTCATATAATTGCACCACTTTTCGTATGGCTATACTATTAAAGTATGTTGTTTAACCAGGTACCTTATCATAATTAAGTTTCATCAAAATCGTCAAAGAAAGTTTTCAACAACTAACGAAGAAAAGGTCTGACTGAATTATACCTCCTAATCAATACGATTTTCAACTGATATTTGTCGACCAGTTTTTGAATTTTTAAAATTGGTTTAAATTTTTTGGCAAAAACGTGCACTTTTCTGCTAATTATAAAGAAACGGCTGATCGTCGTACAAAGCTATTCAACACAAGTCAAACGATTCAAAATAACCTAAAACATCGAGTAAACAAAATTACCAAATCGGATTTTCCGACGAAAATATAAACTTTAAAAATAAAAACTATAAAATAAGAATAAATATTAAAAAAAAAAGTTATATTCTATTTGATTTGACACTAGATGTAGTTTTAATATTTAATTAGCAGTTCATAACAAGAGAAATAAAAAATATAAAATATTTTATACATTTTTAGTAACAGTGGAAATTATAAATATAAAATATTATTAATAATATTATGAAGTTAATTTCATAATTTTTTAATAACTATTTGCTAATCAGCTTATTATATATCATTATATTAACAAATTCTAATATTATTTATAACAATATAATCTAGATTATAATATTAATATATTATATATTATAATATTAATATTATATTATTATAATTTATTATAATATTAATATATTATTTGATTCTAATTAAAACTATATTTATTATAATATCGTAAAAATCAAGAGTTGTTTCTTCAGATAAGTACATATCACTTTTAAAAATAACGGATTTTATCAAATTTTAGCAAATTCAGTAAAAAATTGCATATTTAAATAATATTTTAACAAACTTTTAAGCTGATTTATTGCATTCAGTTGTACATTAAGAAATTTATATAGTAATTGCAACATTATTAAATGAGCATTAATTAAAACCTAATTGCATAACGTATTACCTGCATGTCAGGAGCACTTTTTACAAAATATGTAATAATATATTATTATTTATGTGTAGCAAGTGAAATAATAGGCAATTATAATAATAAACTTATATTTAAATATGAAATTAAAATAGAAATTTATTTTGATACATCAAATTTGAAAAAATATTTAACGAAGAATGTGTTCCTACACCATGGTCATCTAGAAGTGAGTTCTTGAATCGCGGTTCGAGACTTTAGTACTTTTGTGACGAACCAATTGATTTTCACCTCATAATTTGAACCAAAATGAAGAACTATTAAATGTATAAAGCATAATTAAATAATTAATTTTGTAAACATTTTATTCTAGACAAATTATAACAATTAAATGAAATTCTACTCTGTAAATTAATTACATTTTAGTTTGTTTGTAAAATAATTTATTTGTAATGTAAAAAATTGTTTTCCATAGTCAATTGCTTATTGAAGCAATTACTACAATTTGTTTTTTTTTATTTTTCTTTATTTTTAATCTATTTTTATTTATTTATTTATTATTATTATTACTATTATTATTATTATTATTATTATTATTATTTTATTTCTTTCTGTGATTATTATCATTATTATTATGTGTAATTCAGCCATATAACTCATAGGGTACGTAAATAACTCTGATTGTTATATAATATGAATGAACAAAAAAAAATTATAATTTGTAAAAAAATTAGGAATTTTTTAGCGTGAAATATCATAAATATCAATATCAATAAAGATATTGCGTCAAAATAAATTCATGTTGAGAACAGTTTATTTTTATAGATTACAATAACTAAATGAACTACATCAAAAAGGCAAATTCTTGTTAGTCTTATTTTAATTTTATATTTCAACTATTTACTTTTGTTTTTTGTCTACAATATTATCGTGAACATCATGTAAAATTATTTAAAATATTTGATTTTAGAGTCTTATATGTTTTCAGCAAAATACAACTTTAACAAAAATTAATATTAAAAACAATAATTACAATATAGTCTATGAATATATTCACTTACATACTTAGATGACATTGGAAAATTTTATTTTATTAACTTCCTATAGTTATTGTAATCGTCCAAAAATAGAAATTGAATTTTTTTTGCATATATTTACGTTTTGAAGGTTTCTGAACATTTTGGCACTACAATTTTTCGTCCACGTTTTCGGGTGCACGGATCAAGCGATTTGGTTCAAAAGATATTTGATTCCTATTGATAGGTAGATAATTGATTAGTTTTTGCAAAGGCAGGTACAGTCGTTTCGGAGATACGAGGCAAAAAGTGCAGAAATTAGAAATAGAGTTTTTGAGAAAACAGTGCATCCGATTTGAATGATCTAAAAAACATTTAATTCGTAATGATGGGGAGAAAGGGTGATTAGATTTTAGCATGGGCAGGTTTAGTTAGGAGATACGGAGCTAAATTTGCAAACAATTGCAGTTTATGAGAAAACTAAGCATCCGATTTGAATGATTCAAAAAAAAATCTACAGAACAGTAAATGTTTTCTACGACAAATTTATAGACAAATCGTGTCAAATATAAAAAAAGTCAAATAAATAGAAATATAAAATTAGAATTGGTAGAATAAATTTTAATTGTAGATAATTGATACATAAAAAATTAAATTTAACTGCTACTTCAAAAATATAAAATTTGATTTATAACATAACAAACAAATGATATTTCAAAAAATGTTAATTTTTTTAAATTTTAAACCCCTACGTAGAAAATAATTGACTTTCACTGAATGAGTACTTGTTGATAGTTTCGACCACTTCAGGGGTTGTTGAAAGAACTACCCCGAGGTGTATTTTAGTAACGATTCAGTCGACACGAAGACTGTTTCATTTTAATAATGCGTTTTATGCGCACAATTGTTATTCTGAACATTTAAGTGAAAAATTAAAGGTCACAGAATTAAATAGTTTGGTTTTAACAATATGAGTAAGTTATCTCAATTGTAAAAATAATTTAAACGAATTTTTAAAAATAATGTTTGCAATTAATTTGACTACATTTGCACTGTTTGTCGTTTTGCACTTTACAATATTTTAGAAAACTAACACATGTTACCAAGCCGAATATTTTTATTTAATTTTTGTTTCTTTGCAACATAAGCATATGGTTTTAAAATTTAAAAAATACATACCTCAATTATCCAAATTTTTAAGTATGATATACAAATTAAATATTAAGTAGCCTTATTTATCCTTACCATTTTACTTTAATTAAAAAATATTATTATATTTGAAGTTATGTATTATTTCTTAAAAAAATGTAAAATCAGTTTATCACAATTTAATTTTAAAAATGAGTATTTTAGTTTCAGATTGTCATTGCAAGATGATCTATATATTATTTTTTAGGTAATTGTAAAATTAGAATATATATATATATATATATATATATATATATCAATATATTTTTATTAATTAACTATGACTAATTAGTGTACAAAAGAGAGCAAAGAAATTTATATTAAGAGAAAAACTTAAGTTCAAAGACTTCATTTTTCTTTTTTTTAATTTGTTAATTATAGTTCATACATTTCTTATATATTTTGGTGATTTTGGTTGTTTTGCTGATATATTAACTTATTTATGATAATAATTACTAAATATATATTTAAAGCTTTCCTACACAATTATTTGATTTTAAATTATTTATTTTTAATATGTGGCATTTTTACTTTATATATAAATCAATTCACAAATATAGAATTTTCTTTTTTGTGTTGTAATTTACATTTTTTTATTTATCTTCATTGGTCTCACTTATTAGTTATAATTAGAGCATTTAACCATACCTACAATATTCCTTTATACATTTTATACTATCTTTATTACATCACCTAAATATCCTAATACTATTTAATTTTTTATAATTGACTTCTTAGATCTTCTATGTCTTCTAGCCTTGTTTTTATCTTCTAATTTCTTTTAACTACTAATCTATTCTATCAAAATTCAAATCTACTTAATTTCAATTCTATGTCAGTGCCAGGACTCGAACCGAGTATCCCTTGCGTTTGAGTCGGGCATGCCACTGACTGAACTATTTCCAGCACATAGCATTTACATTAATGGGTCAATTCTGCCGTAAAGTAGACCAATGTTATGGCAACACTATGTTAAGCTCCTTTTTTCATATAAAATGGTACTAAAATCTATCAAAATGCTATATATTTGTGGTTCGATCAGGCGTTTTATACATGAAATCTAACTTCTCACTTGTGTTATTATGACACATCAAAAAGTTGCACGTATGGTAACATTCTTCTTTGACTTTTGCTCAGTTCCTAGGTCAGGTTATATATCTAAAACGCTTGACTGCACAGCAAATACATAGCATTTTGACAGTTTTTAGTACCATTTTATATGAAAAAAGCAGTTGCCATAACATTTGGTCTATATTATAGTAGAATTGGCCCATAAATTCCATGAAATAACTGTGAGAAATTTTGATACTGATCTTATGTTTATAGGAAGTCTATTGTTTATTGTAACTTTAAATTTTCTAAAATTAAAAATTTGAGAACTTTAAGAATTTTCTAAAATTAAATTTAAAATTTAAATTTTTAAGTGCAGTATTTTTGCTAAATAAAATGTATTTTGAGAAAATAATCTGTGATTTAATATAATTGAATTCATTTTACGTTTTTGGCTCATATTTTTGGTTTGATCATTTTGAATCAATTTTGTTGTGGTAGTTATTTTATTTATTAGTTTAATTTTTTTATTCTATTTTGTTCCAGCGGAAACGTTAAAAATGCGGGAAGGATCGAGGAGTCAAATAATGGATCTGGAAGATCGAGACCCAAATAATCTAAACCAACATTTGCAGGTAAATCGATTCTCATAAAACTACTTAATATGTCAACGACCCGTGACCCGAATGACCTGTGCTTTGTGCTTCACCGATTAAATGATTATTTTCTGACGAAACACAAATATAATGAAACACTTGACAAAGTTTTATTAAAATAACAGATTATTAGATTAAAAGTGATCAAGAATATATTATAATAACATTCCTATCTTTTGAGATTTTTCATAATTTTTTCAATATTTAAAAAACAAATTATTTCGATTCAGTAATTAATACCTCTAATATAATATTCTGTTGATATAAATAAATTGCAAATAAAAATTTTATAAAAAAAATTTTTTTTGAAATTTTTATGAAACATAGAGATGAAGTTAATTCTTATCATTTGAAAAATGTGAAAAACAAAATCAACAATCAAATAAATAACATATGCTGAATTATTAATAAATATTTTTGAAATCGGTTACTGTAAATTATTTGTATTTACTTCAAAAGTTAGAATACTAAAGAGAACTTCAGGAACTTCAACAAATGTAGAAATGAAAACATTTTTATAAAATATGAAAACAAAACATTTAACTTATTCAGATTCAAGATTGTTTTCCTCACATTAAATCTACAAAAAAGTTTTATAAAAAACAAACAAAATATAAGAACGTTAAGATTTCTGTTGAGACAAAATACTTGCATTATTATTATAATAAACAGTGTGGTGAAACTTCTAATTAAGAAGTTTATTATATTTTATTTAATAAAAATGTTTAAATACTGTTAGAATTGGAAAGTAAAAATTATTTACTTGATGCCATTTATGTAAATACTATATTCAGAACACTTTACATAGAATTTACTGTTCAGAAAGCAAACACAAATTAATAAAATCCAGGATTTATCTAGTATATGCACTAAGTTTTTAATGGATAGTTATTATTCTTTATGATTTTTATTTCCTGAACCAAAGCCTCATTTTTTTTAAAAAAAATTCTTCCATTTATATATTACATTCTATGTTTCGTTGATATAGAATATCTCCTTCTTCATGAATTATTAAAAATAAACAATTATTTTTTCATATATTGATTTGCTTCAAATTTCAAAATTGAAAAAACTCACTTTTTACTTTAGAAGTTTTTAAAAATTGCTTCACTAAAAAACTTAGTTAACTTAAAAAGTATATATTTTTTAAATTTTGAAATAATGATAAAATATGCAAATTCGTTGGTGGTTTTAACTCCTTCATAATCACTCCTGATATTGTTAAAAAAAATATGAAAACAATTTGATATTGACAGTGAATTTAAAAAAAACGCAGAGAAAATAACAATATATGAACACGTTAATCGCCACAATAATATCAGAATTTTTTTTACATAAGTATGGTAACTATACTATGGTAACTTTATTAGATAACTTTAGTTAAAAATGTGTCAAAAAAAAAAAATTGACAAAATTTCTAGAGAATATTATATGTTTTGTCACAGATATATGACTGACTATATAATAAATCTTTTTTCTCGACAAGTGGCTTTTTACCAAATTTCGTACGTCAAACATATATGTAGAACATATTAGCGTCAGACATATATGACTGATATGACTATTAACGTGCTAACTCTAATATTTTTGTTATGGCTTCTAACTTTTTTGAACTCTATAGTAATTGAATAACTAAAGCAAGTGGTTGCTGTCCTAAAGAAAAATAAGAAAAACGCTAAAACAACTGATTGACATGACCATATATTAAAAATTGTTCTTGATAGTCCAAGATTTCCAAATATACTGCAAATGTATGCGTCAGACATCTGTGATTGACGTGCCCTCTAACAAATATCGTATGTCAGACATATATGTCCGACATAACTCTTGTATAACTTTCTAGCGTCAGGCACAATTGCCTGAAATGGTGATGATATATTGAAACAAGTCAATTCTATCTATTGAAAATAAACTTCTAATTTACAAGGTAGTAATAAAACCAATATGGACTTACGGCATAGAATTGTGGGGCTGCGCGAGCAAATCCAACATAGTGCTAATACAACGTGCCCAATCGAAATTATTAAGACAGATTACTGATGCTCCGTGGTTTGTTAGCAATAAAACCTTACACGATGATTTTCATATGGAATTTATAAACAGAATTATACAAATCAACAGTGTAAAACATTGTCATAAACTAGAACATCATACAAACTATGTAGTCACTCAGCTTCTCGAGACACCAACTTCAAGAAGACTGAAATAGAAGCTGTCTAAAGATAATATGGAGGACCCTTAGAACTATCACAACTTTATATGAACAGAATAGTAGAATCACTTATTGAAATGATTCTCTAACGATCAACATAATATTTATCAGATTAATTTATATGTGTGTTTGAAAGTGTGTGTGTGTATGTGTGAGAGTGAATGACATAAGCCAAATAGCTCATAGAATTGTCATGTATTCTGATTGCTATTGAAAATAAAATTTAAAAAAATATATAAATATGTATTGAAACTACTCAATGCCGGTATACTATACATTTTGAACCAGTAATGTTTAGTAGACATTCCATTCCCACAATTACCATGTTAATTATTGATTACCATTCAAATAGCTCATAATACATAAACTGCATATTATTATTTGCTCTTGTTCTTAAATGCAAATCGTTTAATCATTTCGTTTTCTTCGTTTTTGTCCTCCATCAGGTTGTGTGGGATGACGTGATAGGTGAGCCCGAGGGCGTGCGCAGTCCTGAGTGTGCCTGGAGACTGACCGAGCAGTGCTTCAAAGTTTCGAAGAACTGCTGCTATGTCTTCTTGACCGTACTATTTGCGCCTGTGGCCGGTCTATGTCTCGGCTGCGGTTTCGCCTGCTTGGCCTTTCAGGTAATTCATCTTACTCATTTGAAATTTGTTGTTTTATTTTATTGGGTTGATTTGATAACGAGGCAGGTAATATAGAGAAACCCATACATAAGATAATTAATATTTGTAACTACAGTAGAACCTCGGATCTTAGTTATACGGATTTGCGATTATTCGGACTATCAACCGCGACTAATTTATATGCATATACATACCTACAATTCGAATTTTTTCACGATTAATACTGCAGTTTAGTATATATATGTGATGTAATCTAAGAAAATATATATGTACATACATAAGGAAGTTTCAATTTCTTGATAAACATTATTTTCCTTGATATCTATGTACGTATTTGTTATTTTTAATAAATACACAACATTATTCTTCATACATTCAAATATCCGGATTTTCGTTTATTTGGATGCCTATCGACAACAATTAGTTCGGCTAATCTAGGTTCTACTGTAGTCGTAAGTGGCATTGTTTCTTGAGGCATGTTGCATGAACTTCCCAACATGTGTAGATAATCTATTTAATCAATGAGAAAGCAATATATTAATCTAGGAAAGATTTATAAGTAACCGATTTGCTGCAAAGCGTCATGATGTGGGCTATTACAAATAATTTAATTTTGCACAATTTTTTATTGCTCATTATTAAAGCAAACAAGCTCTTAATACATACACGGAGTATTTTCTAAAAGACAGAATTAATCAATGAATGAATTATTTTTTATAATCAAGGGCCCTAAAATGCTCCTTTCTTATTGTTAGTAGTAAAAAAAGTCTATATGCTATGTATTTCCTGTGCAGTCAGGTGCTTTAGATGTAAAATCTATCCTAAAAAACGCACCGTCGTTAAAAAATGATAGCATAAGTGCATCTTCCTGATGTGTCTTAATAAAACATGCGGGAAGTTACATTTTAAGTATAAAACGCCTGACTGGTTTATTTTAATATGATAACAACGCTATGTTATGGTCTATTTTACCGTAGAATTGGTCCCTAAATCATTTTTCGTAAGGCTGTAATATTTTAGTATGTTCATTTAAACCAGGTATTATATTGCCATATGCCATATTTCATTAATATCGTCGATTTTTTTTTAACAATCAATTACGCCTGGTCGATCTTTGTCAAAAACTAATCAGCACGATATACAAATGATAATTAATTAGATAATAAATGATAATATGATAATTAGAGCCTTTTTATGATAAAGTTAGAAATCTGCTACTGAAATATTATGAATTTTCATCCAATAATTTTCGAGTTATACGACTTTAGATTTTAGCAGTGTTTCAAAAATTGACAAAAAAAGTTCATTATTTTGAGGACTGCTCGGCATCCAGAGCATTGAAGGGATTTACACAGTTCTTAAAGGAATTGTCATTCAGGCTTAAATAATGGCAAAAAAACTTTTATTTTAATACTCCTATCTGTTGTCAAAAAAAATCGCAGCAAACTCGAAATATAGCCTGATCAATGCCAATTTTTGAGAAAAATTTTATTTGCTCGGATTGAGCTGATAATTACAGAGTTTATTAACTATGAAGTTTATTAGAAATTTGCTAGAGGAATATTTTGAATTTAGATTTTAAAGTTTTCGCGTTAAACGCCTTTAAAATTTATCAGTATGCGAAAATAGTCAAAAAAAACTTCATTATAATTGCTTTATAGATCTTGCTATATACATTTGATTTTATTTCTCCAAAGTTTATGTAAACGAATTATTTTTTTTTGTTCTTAACTTATAATATCTTAATATCTATGGAAACTGCTTAATTATGTGCAAAATGTCTTCAATTAGATTTATTTATTTTACTTATTCTTTTTCACGAATTTATGCTTGTTATATAGCTATATGTATATATCACATTTATATCTATTTTTATACACTCATTTCTTTCTATATATAGAGCATATACATCAATCATTTTCATAAATTTTCTAAAATATATTCTTTTTTGTCGTAACTGAGATTTGTTTCTAGTTTTATTAATATGTGTGCTGATATAATTCTATAATTCTAATTTTATTAATTTTATTTAATTAATTTTTATTACATTAAAAACACATACAACCCTAAATTTTCACTCTCTTACCGCATAACCCTATTTGGTAATAGTCATTTTAGTAATCGAATAATTTTCCGATTTATGAATTTCGAATTAGATTATGGAACTTAAGTTTACTTGAACAAAAAATATTACGATTTTTCCACCCCTATCATTTTTTATATTGAGTAATTGAACAATATACACAACATTAAAGAAAAATATGGGTTGTCTACTCATAAATAATTTTTTGGACTTCTTTGATCATTTCTTTCATTCTATTTTTTGTAATTTATTGGTAAAAATTACATACTATCTTTAATTTTTAACTCCATACCACAAACTCCTATTTTGCTTACAATAACTTATTATTTTTTTGCTACACTAGAAATTTTCTAGAAATACTTTACATGGTAAAACATTTGCCGGGTCAGCTAGTATATATATATAATATATATATATATATATATATATATATTAATTTGGAAATATGAACAAATAACACTCTTTTTTGCACTATTTTATTAAATAATAATTTTCACAAACGTTTCGAGACTAGGTTTGTCTCATCATCAGTGTGTTATAATTTAAAATTTAAAATATGGAAACCTAAATCAGCATTATGTGTTATCCGTTACACGTTGTTCGAAATACATTATAGTTATATTTATTATCAATAATAAATAAAATATTTAATAGTAGTATTTGGCCAGCTACCTATTATATTAGCCATAAGTTTTTCTTTTTTTTTCAAAAGGTAATTCAGTAAAGGTAATAAAGTTCTTTCATACAATGTAAGTTGATAATTAATTCTAATGATTTTCGTGTAACTTGAAACAAAGTTTAACGACTGATGAAAATAAATTCAATGGTATTATTATACGTTTTAATGTTATGCCTACAGTTGCCATATAAATGTGTGCCGGGTACACCTATGGAGCATAATTATAATACGCCTTTTATACACGCAACTCAATATATCAATTTTATTTCTGACATTGGATTCCAACATGAGAACAGAAAGTTTTACATACGTTTCGGGAAACTATTGTGCAGAAGTCACATTAAGGAATAATCGATACTTATGAATAAGACATGGTAATGATAGAGATGTAACGTTTAATGAAGAGGGAAATATTTTGGGAATATTTTGCTGTAATAGCCAAAATATTTATGTACGTATGTGTATGTATGATTTGTTAGGTTAGGAACTATCCAGTGTACACAGGAAGATTTTTTTTTAATTTAAATACCTGGAGATTTTTTGGCATTATTTTTGTTTGTAGAAGATTTTGAGTTATGTTGTAGTTTAATATAATTTGTCTTTCCTTAATTATCAATACATTATTTATCTCATTTAATAACATGCGATTTTTCATAATTTGTAAAATAATTAATGGCTTGGACGAATTTTGTCCAAAACGTATCAGCACGATTCCCAAATTATATATGTAATATTTCATTATTTCAAATTAACCGATTTCATTATTTTCAAAATCGGATCGGAATTTTCGCCGCCGAAAAATTTTGCACTTTTCTGCTAATTTTAAAGAAACTGCTCAGCCTATCGCATTAAAAAACTAACCAATGCGAGTGCTTACTAATTTTCATTGAATGGCTTTAAACTTTTTGTAATCGGTTCAGCCGTTTTTAAGTAAACGTCGATAAAATGTCTAATTTTAACAAACGTTAAAAAAACGCTACTGATTTTTTCAAATTTGAGTAATGTTTAAAATTGAACGACTTGTCGTAGAGCCGTAATATTTTAGTATGTTCTATAAGACCATGATGAACTACCAATAAAATTACATACTACAAATAAATATAATTTGTTTGAACACTCTATTAAATTTAATTGAACATGATCTGTCGAAACTATTTGACATTTGACGTATGGGCCGCCCTCCATTGTTTCTTTTTATATTACGCTTCTACAGAAAATTTTAAATTAAAAATGTAAAGTTTTCACGCGGTTTTGAAATCTTTTTCCCAACTTGTCAAAAAAGTTCCATAAAAATCTTCGAAATAAAAATTTCAAAGGGTAATTACAAAGAAACGGCTCGGCTGATTTTTAATAAAAACTAATCAGCACGGTTTCCAACCAATATCTTTCGAACGGTTTATGAATTTTTAAAATCGATTCTGGAGTGTGAGCTAAAACCTGTACTAAAATCTACACTTTACTACAAATCTTCACTAATTACAAAGAAACGGCTCGGTCAATCGTCGTGCAAAACTGATAAACGCTAGTCCTCATTGGGATACATCGAATGGCTTGAAATTTTTGAAATCAGTACAGCCGTTTTTGCGAAAACATCGACAAAATATCAAATATAGGCTCACATTCACACAGCCATATAGACACACACACGCATAATGTGTGTAAAAAGTCTATTATACTTTTTCCAAGTTTGGTATTGTTTGATTCAGAATGACTTGAAACGTCCAGAAAACAAATAAATAAAATTAGCAAATTGGATTTTGTTGCGAAAACATAAGGTTCTCTTTTGGAAAATTGTTGAAAAAAACTATATTATAATTATAAAATTGTTCATTTGGTCATCCGTCAATTTTCAAAATTTGGTTCCATTTGATTCAGAATGACTTGAAACGTCCAGAAAACAAACAAATGAAATTAGCAAATTGGATTTTGTCATGAAAACAAAGTTTTTCTTCGGGAATTCGATAAAAAAATATTATAATTATAAAATTCATTATTGCATGAAGTCTAAAAATAAAAAGTCGTTACATAAATTACAAAAATATATAAAAAGTATATTGTGTAACAATTAAAAAATACAATATGCGGTGTACATAGAATTTTCGAAGCCTCTGTAATAATAGTAATTATATTGTCCATATAATTGATCAACTGATTATAGTATAATTAACTTCCCGCAGGGTAGGTTATAGTAATCATAAAAAATCGAAAATGAAAATTTTTATATATCTACACGTTTCTGAAAATTTTGGCATACCTTAGAAGAAACGGATGTGTGTGTATGTGCGGATACAATTTTTCGTCAACTATTTAGAGAACACGGATTAACCGATTTGAATGATTCAAAAAGCATTCGATTCCCATTGATAAGAAAACGTGTTAATCAGTTTTTGACTAAGGCAGGTCGTATGTAGTATGTAGTAAAGTTCTAGCAAGTTTCCTTAAGGCACGATCCCATGCACGACTACTTTTTTTATATTTATATTTAATTTTCATAAAAATACTATTTATAAAACGATTCTTCTTATTTCGACTTGCATGTAAATTAGTTTTGCATTTATTCATGGCGTGTTTTTTATGCCCAAGAGCCAAGAGGCAAGAGGCAAGAGCCCAGGCACACGCTTCTGTTTAGTTTAGTACAGGTCAATCGCTATCGCACGCGCAACTTTGTACTTTTACCTATATCGGCCGCAGAAAAACAATCGATATATTTCATAAACACAACTTCCCAACCTTTGCTAATTCCAATAACTTATTAAGAAAATGTGAAAGCCTTAGTTCGTACGTTAAAATTCATAATTGATAAGCCAAATAATTTGAGCTTCCCTAACCTAATTTATTGTACCAAGCGATTTGAGGTCATAAAATCAAAAATGATTTTTTTTACAAAAACTGCTTAAAAATATATAATATCGTGTACAAAGTTGATGTTATGTGCATTTGTGCGAATATATAGTTCAAATGAATTTATGCATTTAATATTTTCCTGTCTTCATTTTATATTTGCATATATCTTTTGTGCTATCTCTGATAAGTCAGTTTACAGAACGATAGTTCTGGAAACAAATTCTACTCTAGTAGTTTTTATACATAAACATATTGCAATCACTAAAATGTCCTTAAAAATAAGATATAGAAAATATGCATAATAAAAACTTAATTTAGCTAGTAGTGTAACCGGAATTGATATTACATATAAACTAAAACATCATTAAAACGATTTTACATGGATTGGACAATAAAGCGTGTTGAGCGAGAAAGTGTATTATGCGGGATGTATTTCTAAGTGTAAGGATCGGCATGGCTTATTATGTCCGAAATCGTATTATGAATTATCGACTTATTAACGAGATTCTACTATATGAGGGAATCACTTTGCATAGCGTTACCGTTTTTCGCACTTTTAAATATCATCTTTTTATTTTAATTTAATCATTAAAACATTTTTATATATTGGTTAAAAAATAAATATTTCTTCAATTGTATTTATATTATTTTTTAGCATTTTCTTTGATTATATCTAACATTACACATCAGTAATAGTTATAAAAATTACACCATTGTATCAACCCTAATGGCTATGTTATTTGTTATTTGATTGGCTATTTGCAAAAAAACACGAACATTTTCGTAAAAAAACGTATTTCTGTTTGTTTTTCTTAAATATCTATAGAAATCTATTTATGGAAATGTACCTTGAATGTCAATCGCGGGTTTTTTTGCCATACTCCAAATCCATACAATCAATAGTTACAAATAAATCGATCAGAAAAGAGTTTTTGTAATTATATTAAAATGTTTCAGTTACAACATTGTTTTAAGAGTTTTAAACTCTTAGATGGTATATTATTTTATAGGGTAGGGCGGAGCACAAAGGTTCAATTTGACTTCGAGCAATTATATTGTGAAAACAAAACCAATTATTTTACAATAATTAACAAATATCAAACAAACAACTATCTGACTATGTTCAGCAAAATCCCAGATAATTCGCCATTGTAGAAACGTTCTTTCTTTTTGCTGTTTTTCAAAAATATATCACCTGATTACTTTTAATGGAACAGCCAGGAGGCGAACAGGTCCAATGTTTTATTTTAAATAGCCGTTCATCTCCTGATATCGACGTAAAAAGAATCGAGGTACTTTTTCCTGCTACTTTAAAATGCTGATGTTAAAAATCCTTAACATTACTTATTTTTGAGATATCGGTGGTAGGCCATTTCACCCGCGGACCTTTATATGCCGCTGTACCCTAACACATCGTTGATCAAGAATAATGAGATCAAATTTTTAAATATTTTCTACTTTAAAAAACGTATAAAATACGCTTATTATATATTTATATATTTAGTAAGAATTATTGCAAATCGTCTTCATTTAACACCCTGCAATTCGAGCACATTTTGTCACATCACATCACATATTCAATTTTTTTTTCTAAATATGTGCTGTAATAATGTTCGATTTTAGCACATATGGTGCGTGGCACCATGCCTAAGAGTGTGGAAGATCAGCTGCGGCGCCTGCAGGATAATCTGCGCCTCCTGCGCCCAGGCGGTCGTAGCTCCCTGCACGGAAGCTCTCGGCTACTTCTGGTCGAAGGTCAAAGTGCGACATCACACGTTGCCGGATGGACCGGATCACGTCCAGGACGTACTTATTCTATAATTATATAATATAATCTGACTTCTATTTGATGTAGATATTGTGAGACACTCATTATTTACGTGAGGTTAGGAAGAGCAGCAGAAACTTACCAAACATTTATGAAGCGGGGAAAGTGACATAGTGGAAATTCTTGCGTGAGATAAAAATCTGCACTTTACGAAAATATAATTTTTATTTTATTCAGAGAGCACAATAAAACATATATACATTTTTTATTTAAGGGGCTAGTATGAAATTTTCAGAAAATCGAATTTTGAATTTTTTTCTATATTTCGATAGGTTATACCTTTAAAATGGGAATTATACCCACAATTAGGTTCTACGATATCCATATACAATAATAATGATTATGTATATGTATTCAGCAATTTGTACAATAGTAGGACTAGTATACACGGTTTTTAGTCATATTTTTTACACTAGTTGGTCGAAGCTTTTAATTTTTTTTGATTATGGATTCAATCTTGAACTGCACTTCTTGAAAGTAAATTATCATTGCTGAGTTCGTCGTAAATCGGTTTGAAAGCTTTTAAAACATCAGGAGGTGAGGGAGGGAGGAATCTTGAGTATAAGTATCGAGTATCTACTTGCGTCAACGCGCTGGTAAGAGTCCAATAACTCAAAAAGTAATCATCGGATCAACTTGAAATTTTCAGAGAACATTTTCAAGGTATTACACTTAATGAAAAGGCAAAAAAATAAAAATCGATTTTTCAAAAATTCCAAGTACCTCTAACATATTAATGTAAACAAACTTGTTCGAACAAACATACTTCATCTTTCTCCCTTTGGACCCTATCGCAAGATCAGTATATTTTAGCTGTTATGACGATTGTCACTACCGTACCCTAGCACAACCGTACCCACTCTCCTATATATTAATAATATATTTATAAATGTTAAAATTATTATTTTTATGCAATTAAACTATAGCCTTAATCTTACGCAAGAAACTACCAAAGGAGTTCATAAACTACCAAAAAATTCCTCATGTAATTAATGAACGTGTAATTGACATAAACGCACTAGTAGAGTATGATTTTGTTATGTTTTTTTCAGACTGACAAAAAACATAATTTCTTACGTTTAAGTAAGTCTTTATACCAAATTGAACCATTAAAAATAAAGTTAAATTATACGTACAACTATAATAAGTGATCATTGTGTCATAAGGCGATTTTTGTCAAATGTCTGGAAAGAACCAAAGTCTGAATAAAATTTAAATACCTGAGTTGAAAGAGTGAAAGAGGTAGATAATTCGTTAACTAAATGTTAAAATAGCCTAGAAATAAAATTTCTTTAAATTAATCTAAAGTTGTATTGTAAGTATATGAATAATTTATAAATTATTTATAAATAATGTTATTTAATTAGTTAATTAATTTATAAACATGTAGTACAAAATTACTTTCTATTGTTAGTATTATTTCGTCATGACTTAAATTTTTATTGATGTTACTTACGAGTATATTCGATTCATCATAGTATTAAGAAATTAATATAGATCTTAAAGTGTTGTACGCACAACCAAAAAAATGTGACAAATTCAATTTCATTTTTATATAACTAATTTTTAATACATATTGATTGTTTTAAAAATTAGTTTATCAAAATATATAGCAATATTTCAATTAGAATCTTGTTACATAATTCGGTATCGTATAGTGATTTAATAAGATCTAATTTAAACTCATTCAGTCATTATTTAGATAAGTGTTAAGTTTCATATATATTTATTATCATAATTACCATTATAATATTATATTTCATGTGCCTCTAATAAATAAATTAATGACTTATTATTGCTATAATTATGAGATCTTGATATCATGAGATGCATTACATTGCAGCAGATGTAGTTTTTTCTTTCATAGTTTTATTGAGATTGGATGTTAAAATATGATACCATCTCATAATATCATATGTAGATGGCTAAAAATATTTTATAATAGTATTAGATATATATATATATATATATATATATATATATATATATTATATATATATAGGGTGTCCCAGAACTCAACATCAAGCCGAAACGCGGTGGTAGTATTGACCTTAACTGTCCTGAAAAATTTAGAAAAAAGATATCTCACGGTGTTTAGAAATTATGAGCTTTTAAATGCAACTTAGAGTTTTGGTGAAATTGTGACTATTTTCTTCCTATTTTTTCTAATTTCTGTTCATTTAATGAATAACGTGAATAACATTTGTAGAACCACGGTCAAAATCAACAACAATTACTATAATAATAAAACAATGAAAAAATTCGATCTCGTTTAGTTTACGTTTATTGAAATAAAAGTCAGATAATTTTTTTTATTATAATAAGTGATTGTATTTTATATTATTATAAGAAACTAGCCGACCCGACAGACTTTGTCCTGTCAAAAAAATGTGTAATGTGGCGGTGTTTTGTTTCCACCTTTTTTCTATTCTTTGCAAAAAATTATCCTGAACAGAACCGTCACCCTGGTAATAATTCGGCGTGAATTAAAAATAATTAAATAAAACACTATAAGCATTTAAAAGTAAGTAATTTTAATCATGTAAACCATACTTCAAAAATCAGTTCAATTTTTATTGTAGTGCTTTGTGATCAACGATGTTTTTTGTTTGATTTCCTGGCGCATAGACAAACAAATCTGATGGTTTTCCTATACGGGAACAGACAACGTACAATTTTCCATGTGAGAAACATGGGTTTTCCAAATTAATACCACAAACACTTAATGATATCATAAACGCACTGGAAACTGTAGTCGTTTAATCTCAAATGGCACCTTAGTCGGAATCATTGGGATGCACGTTGCGTTATACTGCGTTGCGTCAATATAGTTGCTTCCATCACGTTGTTTGGTAGTTTTTTTATCGCTAACCTTGTGCCCTTGCAAAGGCGCGGTTGGTCGATATTTCGCAACATTATAATTGCCGATCCAACCTTTAATTGAAGATTGTGAGGTGACAATCCTACCAAATCCAGCGAGTTTAAAAACTTCGGTGGATCGTCTTGGTTAGTTGCCGAATCAACTGATTCGCCTGTAATTTGTTCTTGAATTTTGAAATTTAATTCATTTACATCAATGTGTTTGGCTGCCAATATAGCTCGTTAATTAATGTAAAGAGATTTCTATGTCTGTATAAATATTAGGTTGTCAAATATCTCTTTTGTCTTAGAGCAAAAAAGCGGAAGGTAGATATTTGACAACCTTATATATTAAAAATTAGATTATCAAAAACTACACAAAATGTCATGACATAGAACATTGTTTTTTCTACAAAGTTCGTTGCCTACTCGATTAAAAAAGAAAAGGGTTGTTTTTAGGGTTTTCCTGGCAATTATTAGATTTTTTCTCGCCGTAACAACCATCATTGGACTTCAACGAACATTTTAAAAAAAGAATTGGCCAAATTGGTCCAGGCGTTATTGAGTTATGCGCTTACCAACACATTTTGCGATCCATTTTTATATATAAGATGACAAATTGTTTTGCATCTTCTCTTTTTTTCTAAATTTCCTCAGGACAGTTAATACTATCACCTCGTTTTGGCTTGACATTGAGTTCTGGTATACCCGGTCTACATATTGAGTGGCTCGGAAATTTTTATTATTTTATCCGAATAGAAGGTAAAAAAAAATCAAGGTCGCAAAAAGTGAATTTCATATTTTGCTGTTTAGCCGGAATTATATTTTGTTACTTGTTCATTAATACGTGCTGCTAATACATTTTCTATCGGAGTTTTTCCTTTTTTTAAGTAAAACTACTGAAAATTACTGCATATAGCGTATTGTGCTTTTTATGCAAGAATTGCTAACTAAAATCCTAAAAATATGTAATGAATATATAAGGCTTTTGAAGCCTTCGAAAAAAAACTTTCCGATGATACTAATGAATTAAAGGTTAATTTCCGATGTTTATATCAGTTTAGTTCATTATATTAAGAAATTATTAAATTTTATTAGATGTTAATGCTAAGATTTCATCCAAAATATAAATCTTGTTCAAATATAACAGTTTTATTTAAAAGCTGCATGATTCAACGTCGAGCGTGTATCCCTATTTCTTATCAATTAATAATAGTATTAATTATCAAGGATTAATAATTCATATAAAATTGTACTGTAATTAGTAACCGTAAATCTCATAATGTCAAATTCTAAATCATAAAAAATACGGTATATATATAAATTTTAATATCTTAAGCCGATGAACAAATATTTGAACAAATAATGTATAATTATATGCACGCCATACGATATTAACGTCCGTTAATGGCACAAAATGATGTTTATCTTTCTCACAATCTGTTGTAAAATCAACAAAGTGTAGAATCACTTTAATAATCATTTGAATGATGTTGATTTACCTAGATATTTTGAATATGAATGGCTTAATAGATATTCTTTTATAGCCCAGTTAGAATATTTAAGCTCTTTCTGTCGTGATGTATTAGTTTTCAAGTAAAGAATAGTAAGCCAAAATATTTTGTGTATGTAAGTGATACTAGAAATATTTACCTGAAAATAATTAAACTTTTACTTTCATACAAACAAATATTTATCCACTGGAAACAAGTGCGTAGAAATTTTTCGACTATTTATTGTTAGTAATTTCATAAGAAGTTTACCATTTGTCCGGTAGAGGTAGAGTTAGAGGTAAAGGACCAGGTAGAGAGAGGTAGCTTTAGAGGTGAAGTTGAAAGCTCAGGTAGAGGTAGAGTTAGAGGTAAAGGACTAGGTAGAGAGAGGTAGCTTTAGAGGTGAAGGTGAAAGCTCAGGTAGGGGTAGAGTTAGAGGTAAAGGACCAGGTAGAGTGTAGAGATAGAGGTAAAGGTATAGGTGAAGGCCCAGGTAGAGTGTAGAGATAGAGGTAAAGGTAAAGGAAGAGGACCAGGTAGAGGTAGAGGTAAAGGTAAATGCAAAGGATCAGCTAGAGGTTGAGGTAGAAGTAAAGGTAAAGACCCAGGTAGAGGTAGAGTTAAAGGTAAAGGACCAGGTA